CATCCTGTATAATTAACATTAAAAATTTCGAACGGAACATAATAATTATAATTTTTTTAATATTCTAGATGGCTATAAGAGCCAAGTAATTAATTTTATTTTCCTAAGATTTTAAGAGAAACGTCGTTCTGGGAGAGGAGAGATGGAGGCTCTGGGGTAAAATTTCAACAATCGGGAAAAGAAATCCGTGGACAGGCTGTAGTTACATACTGGCAACAAACTGCGATATCGTATCATTTGTTACAGTTAGGCAACACTTGCCTTACCCGGTAATCTACGTAACTTTATCGTGACATCAAATTTTCACGTCAAGTTGATCGAAGAGCTGTTATCAGTTGCACCAACCGGTTCGATAGCCTGACTGCTGTCGATATAGCCTGACTCTGGCGGTTAACTTTCGAACAGCCGATGTCCGTGGTTATCTACGATGATTTAGACTTTATTATTTAAACCCCTGGGAACGCGATAGTGGACGGAAATGAAAGTTACAAAATGTTCAATTTTCTATATTTTGTATCAATTTTCGTCTAGCGTTTACAGCACATTCGCTACTGCTGTAAAAACATGCAATGTACTTCCAACATTGTCAAACATCGACTAATTGAAAATGAGGCAAAGAGCAAACACTTTCAATTTACTTTGTTTCTTACGTTCTTAATTTTGTACTAATTGTGAGGATTTTATTTATTCCTGTAAATCTGTGACGTACGTTCGATATTCTGTTTTAATCAATTCACGTTCATAATTCTTGGCGGCAGGTCCTAAATGAGAATTTTGTAATTCGTTAGCCACAGGGATGTCGTTTCTGAATTAATAATTCCGCAGCCCATTTTGGCAGTACAATATTCCGTGTATTATGAATGTTCACAACCACGCATATCCAGACACAAATATATAAATATGTATGAATTATATATAGGACGATTGCATCTACAGAATCATCCACAAAACTGGAACTATTTTGATAGAAAAGTAATAATATTCTTTTCACCTAAGCTATAATCGATAAGTATATTATTACTTTGCAATCAAAATAGTTCCAGTTCTATGGATGATTCTGTAGATACAATCGTCCCATATACAGGGTGTTCGGCCACCTCTAGCAAAAATTTTAATGAGCGATAGTAGAGGCCAAAATAAGACGAAAATCAAGAATACCAATTTGTTGGTGGAAGCTTCGTTAAAAAGTTATTAACGTTTAAAGTGCCGCTCTTACTGAATTTTTTTCTCGAAAATGCGCAATATTTCGGGGGTATGTCTATTCACGAAAAATGACTGTAATTAAACCCTACAACCGAAAATAATTTTTCCACAACGATTTGCAATTTTTTAATTTTCTCGAATAATTTCACACCTTCTCTATTTTTTTTTCTCGAAAGTGGGCAGGATTTCGTGGGTATGTCTAATGACAAAAACTGATTGTAATTGACCCCCGCAACCGAAAATAATTTTTTTAAAACGATTTGAAAAATTTTTTTTCGCCGAAAAATTTCAGCACCTACTCGATTTTTTTTCTCGAAAGTAGATAGGATTTCGGAGGTATGTGTACTCACCAAAAATGATTGTAGTTGACCCCCGCGACCGAAAATAATTTTTCCAGAACGATTTGAAATTTTTGAATTTAATTGTTAATAATTTTTTAACGAAGCTTCCATTAACAAATTAGTATTCTTGATTTTCGTCTTATTTTGGCCTCTACTATCGCTCATTAAAATTTTTGCTAGAGGTGGCCGAACACCCTGTATAGTTCATACATATTTATATATTTGCGTCTGGATATGGATATGATCCGTGTATTATGAATGTTCACAACCACGCATATCCAGACACAAATATATAAATATGTATGAATTATATATGGGACAATTGTATCTACAGAATCATCCATAAAACTGGAACTATTTTGATAACAAAGTAATAATATACTTATCGATTGCACCTTAGGTGAAAACAATATTCTCAACTCGCTAAACATCAATATCAATAAATGCTTTTATACAAACGTGTGATGATTGTTCTATTGATCCAGATATATTCTTTTTATAAAAATTACAAAACGAATTATAGTATTATATAGTGGTGTTTCGTTTCGTCGAACGATTTTTAGTGACCGTTTCCCGAGCATCATCGCGAGTCCAGAGGAAAGACGCGAGCTCGGTCGATCTCGATTCACCGTCGAATTTGCATAATCCAAGAATAATAACTCATATAATCGTAGGAAGTTCCAGCGGTTTCAGCCAATTATGGAACGCATTCGCATGCAGGCTCGCTCTCAGATCGGAGCGCGTTTGCGTCTTACGGCGCTCGTTCTCCTATCTCCACGAATATATCTACGCGGGATCTCTGTGTTCTACGTAGGAGCCTACGCTCACACGTGAACGTGGATGCACCTACGCCTGGTGCATTACTGTACGCGGCGCATACGAAGAAAAGACGACCAGAGAGAGAGAGAAAGAGAGAAACAGATCGTTATCGGTTTAAACAGGAAGGTAAATTTTGCACCAGCCACGCTCAGTGATCCTTGTTTCATGCTCGATATGGCACTTCTTGGAAGATCGCTTTTCCGTTCCTCCATCATGGATTTCTTCAGGGTGGATACACACGTTGCTCAATCGGACGTTAATTCTGCTGGACGTAGAATTTATTTACCAACGTTCTCTAGCTTCCTCAATTATGATTCCAAGTGTCTCACAATTATTTCAATCGGTATTTTATGTGTGTTGGTTCGAACGAATACCATCCTCGTTTGAAACGTTGGCTCGTAATCGAGTTACCCCAATTTCCACACTGTGTACAAAGGACGAAAACAAAGATACGTCATTCGTTTAGAAATCGATTTGCTGGATAGACTGCAGCATTCGCGATTAGTCAATCTGTATATTAGCATGAACGGTGGCTATAGCTAAACCGACGATCAATACGCTTGAACGTGGAAGACTGGGAACCTAATCTTCGCGTTTAAAATATTATATCGCGGAATAATGTGTCGTCGACTGTTCAGAATTCCCACGTGTGCACTCCCAAGATTAATTTGACCAGCACTTCTATTCAAACCGACAACATACAGAACCAAACCAGCTCGTAATGACCCTATTAACAGAATCAGAATTCTAGCAAATAGCCTTACAAAGCGTGAACGCTTGCTTGGGTTTGACGAGGTCGTCCAACCACTGTGTTAATAGTGATTGAGCTATAATTGCATATATTAATTGCAATTAGCAGATTGCATACATTAACTGTACGATCAATAGCACCTTTAAATTAAATAAATAATTTCCATTAGCTGTGGTTTCGAAATGCAAAAATCAAGACGTATATTTTAAAATCTAAGAGTTTTAATCTAAGAGTCATTGATTCCGAGTCTTTCTTTAATTTGGCGCCATTCGTTGAACCGTTCTATCGATAAAAAAATGAAAGAGATATTGGCTGTTGGTCGAATTTTTACCGCAGGGATTTTTCTATCAGCTGTTGGTGCATGATCGACCGAGAAGTATGACTGGTTATCGGTAAAAAAGAGAACTGTATGCGTTTCGTGCGACCATAAACATAGACAAGGCGTAGAATAGACGTTGCGAGCAATGCCACTACCAACGTTATCAGTTCGAGAGAGAATAACACAATTGCACTGTTGGCGTTTGGAATTAAGACTAGATAGCGAGAGAAATAATTATTTCGAAGCAATCGAAATTAAGTCACAGGTGCAACTTTAGACGGATTCGATCAGAAAAGCCACGTTTCGATTTTAAAACTAGTTTTATCGTTTTTAACAATAAACTTGCGGAACCTGTCTTCAGAGTACAGACTTTAAATTATAGAACTTGAATAAATCTTCGCTTCAAATGTGCAACGTGGATGATCACGAGCAAACAGGAGGCGAATCTTCCAAAAAAGTATCGCTTCGAATTTACACCTTGCCTGCGTTAAAAATAAATTTCTCTGTAGCATTAAATCCATCAGCTTGTTGTACGTGGAGTTATCGACTTTATAAGCGCGTAAAGTTTTTCTCAGCTTGATAATTAATGTGTGCCGTCAGGTGTTATTAATTGTACATCAATTTAAAGCTCGATGCTAGCTGAACACGACATGATGAATGTTTCGTCCATTGTTCCAGAATAAAATGACAGATTGTGAACTAAAGCGGACGATGAATCAATGTCGAATCCGAATTCGAAAATTCACGTAACGGGAAATAAAGCTAAAACGAAACTTTATTTAAAGGTAATTATTAGTTCGTTTGGGATTCTCGTAACTTCGAATCGATTTGCAATTTTTTGTTATAAGTATTTAATTAAGGAATAAGAAAACATTCGAAGGACTGGACAGATACAAGAATTTACTCTAATTGTAAGACCTTGCTTGTATTTTTCAAATTTCATTTGCTTTCGTGTCTCTAAAATTTTTCAATTTCTATTTTAATATAAACCTTACATCTTGAGGACTTTCGTGGCCCATTCTCATGAATGGCGGTCAGTCGAGAAACTATTCACTGAATTAGTATTGATGGACAGCTGTAGTGTGTGTATAAATACATGTGAGTTGACACAGGGATTGAAATTCATTTCTAAATCTGTTGGTAATGTTTGCAAGTGACACGAAAATGTCAATGGGGCTCTAGAGCCCCATAAAAATGGGGCGAAAAAATACATTGGATGCAAGGTCTACTCGTATACCTCGTCTGTGATAAAACTATGAAAATGGATGATCGATAGAATTTTCTACGTTTACTATCCTTACCAACCTATGCATTGGGGTCGAACATAGTGTTCTCAGAGTCAACACCCTAAAATCTAGGGTGCGCTGAGCAACTATTGATTTTTCACGATGTCGGTACTTCAGTTCGTGTAACAAACACTATCATGGATAGGTCACATACGAGCTAATTTTACTTTTAATTTTATCCGTCTTGAAAAACGATGATATTCTTATTCGTGTTCTAGCCCCTTTCGTAAATATATATTTTGATTGATTTTTAATATCAGTTTCAAACTTCATTGTTACAGGTTACCTCTCTGCTTTTGGAAGGCGAACGCCGAAAATTGGCAGTTCTTCAACGAGAACTGCAAGTCGCGCTCGCAGAAGGGGGCAGCGTGAAAGTTAAGGAGAAGCAGAGGCAAGAGTTGCTGCACGCCATATCGTAAGTAGAATGGCCACGGACATAGTCAGACAAACGCATCGAACAAGCAGAGCATCTCATATATCATTCGTACGATGTTTTCTATCATTCTAATTATTTTGTTTATCGTAAATGATCCAGTCACAATTCGTTTTAATTCATCAGAGATCAAACTTTATTCGCGAACATCGTATACAAGTTTTTGATTCATTCATAAACTAATTTCCGTTTCATTGATTTTAAAAATCGACGTTTAGACAAATGAATTTATTACGATCGAGCACAACACGAAAGAGAAGCGTCACACGTGGCAAAAAATTCAGAGCAATATCGGGAAAAGGAAATAAATTGCTAGCGTATTGCGTGCGTCATCGGAAGAATAATTCCATTGAAAGCTTTTGCCGCTCCGCGGTGTCGACGAATCTCGAAGCTACCGACGAAACTATCGAAACGTCCCGTAAGAAAAAGTCCTCTAAGGAAACATCCATTTTCCCTGGTGGTGGCTTTCGAATAATATATTTTGCAAGTTGGCACTGGACTCCCGTAACACGAACTCTGCCCCGGGACTTCCCTTTCCCGTCCCCCTCTCCGAAAGCCAGAAAAGGGAGGGAGGATTAACTCGTTCAAGATTTATTAGCGCCTGTCCTCCGGCGAACTAACAATTTGATCAAACTACCGTGGAATTATGCAGTTTCGCGTAGCTTCCGGCGCGACTCGTTCCTAGTCGAACTGGAAACGGCGAACTTTCATCGTTTTCTCTCGCGTAAAATACGTCCCGATTAATTGTTTTCCTACTGTAATTAGACCTAACGACTTCGCGGCCCAATATTTGCGTCGAGTTTCTCATCAAGATGCATCGCAACTTTACAGCCGCGTCCGTGCGCGCGATTATTACTCGCTGTTTTCGACGCGCATCTCTGGGGCGCAAAACTACCCTAACATTTGTCGACTCTTCGAACTCTTGTATCTATGTCATCTATTTGATACTGTAAAATTGTATTACTGGGAAAAATATATTTGGTTTACATTATTAGATTCGTTTTTATATTTCTCAAGATGATCCCAAACTGGAGGATATATTATATCATATTATTTATATTTATTTTAACATGATCTTGCAACGAAAAGATTGTTCACACAGTGTCACTCTTTTGCTGTTATATAACTTGCATAAGAAATATTTAGATGGATCACCTCTGTTTTGAAAACAAAATCATTGAGCATTTTACTTTAAAATTATAGAATCTACTAAAACAAAGATGCAAATTTCTTCTTCGTCGCGTTAAGGAGACCAAGTAGTCAAATTGAGCCTTTTTGTAAGGGCATATTACAAAAAAAACGAAAACCACATTTTTCAAACTAGGCGACTCAATAACTCAGTCAATTTTTATCCGATTTACTTAAAATTTTTTATGGTGATTCCTAATACTATTCTCTTCAGTTGCACGTACAGAATTTTCGATCGAATAATTAGTTTCGACGTGGTGTTAAAAGAAATATTGATTTTGTTACAGTTTTTGGAGATTTTTCCTTCAAAGTTCAATCATTTCGTAATAAACAATTATTCTCAAAAATCCATCTATGCACAACTGAAGCTACTGTCTTATAATTTAAGAAAATTGCACGATTTCTTGTGAAAAATTACAAATTTTTGGAGGGCTCTCACGCTGGTTCCTATTATGTCTATAATAATTAATACTTTCATACAAAATTTTTACAAGAAGTAGTTCAAGAGACGTACTCTCGGAAACATTAAACATTTATCAGAAAACTTTCCATAGTCACGGCCAGAAAATTCTTGAAAATTGCCTTTATTTTCAGCCCTCACAGTGGTTCCTAATACTATTCTCTTCAGTTGCACATACAGAATTTTCGATCGAATAATTAGTTTCGACGTGATGTTAAAAGAAATATTGATTTTGTTACAGTTTTTTGAGATTTTTCCTTCAAAGTTCAATCATTTCGTAATAAACAATTATTTTCAAAAATCCATCTATGCACAACTGAAGCTACTGTCTTATAATTTAAGAAAATTGCACGATTTCTTGTGAAAAATTACAAATTTTTGGAGGGCTCTCACGCTGGTTCCTATTATGTCTATAATAATTAATACTTTCATACAAAATTTTTACAAGAAATAGTTCAAGAGACGTACTCTCGGAAACATTAAACATTTATTAGTAAAATTTCCATAGTCACACCCAAAAAATTCTAGAAAATTGCCTTTATTTTCAGTCGTCACAGTGGTTTCCCTCCTTAACCCCTTAACGTTCATGCCCGAGTCTGACTGCTTTGAAAAACGATATTTGTTTAATCTAATGGTTTAAGGGATGATAATATTTGTTTTCCTTCAAATTATACGTTGGATACAACATTGTAATTAACAAAAACCGCATTTTTAGAAACAAATCCAATAAAGAAGACTGATCATTCTTGGTTAACCCGAAAACTATGAGCGTTAAGGGGTTAAGAAGACTAATTTCTACTTTCTGTACAACGAACCATTAACTCGTTTCCCTCCCCCTCCCCAGTAAATATCACCGCCGGTTCTCGTAACGAGTGTCGCTGACGAGCATCCAATTTCCTTTCGTCGACGATAAATCTAACGCGCCGGGATTCGGGGCTAACTGGTGCACGCGGATTTCCTGGATCCCGAAAATTAGGATCGCCGACGGGTGTTCGCGAGACGCTGGGGCCCGGGGCGTCGCGTAAAGTTAAGTGTCTCCGACACCTTGAGATAAAAAAAGCTTCGAGTCAGCGATATGTAAAGCTCCGTGATTCTTACTCTCCTCTCGTCGCCTCTTTCGCGCTTCGACGCTGTTTGCGCAACTCCTCTCCGTGGCTCGCGGCGTTTCGGCCCTGTTTGCAGATGGCGGCGGCGCCTCGTTGATTATACGGCAATAATAAATTTACGAGATCGCCGTACCGCGAAATTTCCGCGTTTCCGGGGCGAAGAGGTGGAGGAGGAAGGGGAGGGGGGTACGAATTATTTACCCCGAGCTTTCTTTCGTGCTCCACCGGCCCCTTTCGCGAACCTCCGCAAGCGAGATATTGCGTCGCGTTTCGGGGAACACGTGCGAGGAACAACGCAATAATTGACGATCCCTTTTCCCGACCGGGGAAACGAGAAATTGAATGCGGAAACGGAACGCTGCAGGCAGAGAATTATTCACGGAACGGGCGCTCGATGCTCGTTCCCCTGCAATCCTCTTTTTTCCGCGCCGGGGAAAATAAAGACGCGGGTGTAACGTGCAACGAGAATAATCGAAGTGTGCCGCGAGTTAGAAACCGGAACGAGAACGTTTCGAGTTGTTTCGCAACGAATTTTATTTCGTTCGACTTTGCGCGCGTTAATTTCTTTTTAGCGTGTCGTCTCGCGGATGCGAATATCTCAAACTTCCCTGAAGAACCTTGGATCCACGAAGTATCGTGTAACGATAGATTTATGTAATTTCATTACAAATGGACGTGATAAATATAACGAGCCGCGGAACGACGCGACATTATCGTTTCGCGAAGACTGAGTGAATCCACCGTTCCGAAGACTCATGTATCACTGTCATCGCGCGGTTCGTTCGCGAGCTTATCTTGAAATCCCTAAACAATCTAGCTCCACCTGCCCTCGCTGTATTCCCCGTGGGTGTTCGCGATGACAGGACGAGTGTCATATTTCCTGCCACGCCAATTGTCGCGTTAAATCACAAATTTAGAAGCGTTCGTCTTCCATTGTTCCTGGAGCCGTAGTAAAATTCAGGGCCAGAATTTCCCGGATTCAAAACAGCGAGAGTGTTTTGTACGCGTACCTTACACGCCTGCTTAAATTTGTGTGAGTAGTTAGGGGTTGCTTGGAGAAGCAAAGACAATGTAACGTTCGTTAACACTTTTATTTACAAGAAATCAAGCTGGTAGCTGACGAGACTCTTAGAATCTACTCTGACTGAGCGTTGGATGCTATCTGATTGACGGAGTCGAGTTTCCACGCTTCTCGGTTTGGTAAAGATTACGATTGGTTGCTGTTATTTTGTGGAAAGGGTGAGATGGATGAAGTCTTATCGGTCGGTTGTGACGAGGGTGGATCAGGAATGATTTTGTGGCTTAAATGTTTAAACATTTTGGGGAAATTTTGGTCGTTTAACTGGCAGGTTAACTCTAGGTTTATGGGGATGGTTCTGGTCGCAAAAGTACCTGATTATGGACCTAAAAATGCTTAGATTGCTAGAAACTTTCGCCAGCTACCTGTGTTGGGCTCAAATGCTCTTTGTAACAGGATGTCCCGTTCTTAAAACATTTCGCTTAGCGACAGAGAGTCTTGGTGAAACTTCACTCCAAAGAGAAGTATTTATATCCGGAGGAAAATTTTTCATCCCCAAAGTTCGTCGATTCGTTCTCGAAGCATCTTGCACGCGTCGATCGATCCGGCCAACCGCGAGAAGATATTTCATTTGGGGAAAGTCGAAAACAAGAGGATCCAGGTGTCGTTGGAAAAATAAAACGCTGACTGCCAGCGTTCAAAGTCAACGTGGCAGGCTCGCGCCATGAATTCGTAAGATTGTTTGCTCTCGCGTAATTGCCGAAGTTTCCGCGGAGACGTTCGTCCATCCGTGAAACTTTTTCGATTCCTAAATCACCGGGCGGAAACCGTTTGGAAGAATCCGCTGGCGCAGACGGCGTCGTCCTTTCCCCGGTTGCTCGCTTTAACGCTTAATTCCTTTTTTTCTCGCGAGAAAGGGTGAGCTCACGCGAACCGAACGCGACGCAACCAAATCCCTGCTTCTTAATGCATTCGGTAACTTTGCCATTCCGCTAATTAACTGGGGATTTTAAATCGTGCGAATTAAAGCGTCCAATGAACCTTTGGATATGTTTCTATTGTAATCCTTCGATGATATTATCTGCTTGCTGATACAAAAAAAAATTAAAAACGGGATCTGTTGTTCGGTTTTATGGTCAGTGGGGAATTCTAATTCTTTCCTGTTTATGCAACTTAAAAATAGAAATTAATTGCAACTTCGCTCTAATGACTGCTATGATTTACTAAAAGTTACGGAGTTCAAAATGTCAATTATAATTTTTAAACGACAAGTAACACAGAAGTATTTATTATAACTCTGCTTAAAAAATTAAAAACGGGATCTGTTGTTTGGTTTTATGGTCAGTGGGGAATTCTAATTCTTTTCTGTTTATACAACTTAAAAATAGAAATTAATTGCAACTTCACTCTAATGACTGCTATAATTTACTAAAAGTTACGGAGTTCAGAATGTCAACTATAATTTTTAAACAACAAGTAACACAGAAGTATTTATTATAACTTCAACATCGAAGAAGATAATATATTTGAAGAAACATTCTGTGAAAGTCGAGAAAGAAAATTATAAGTGTATACGACTGTACTTAGGGTTGCTGACTGCACGTAAATTGTATTACGATAGAAATGCCATTAATTCCGATCGATAGAAAAATAACATTCGAAAATTCTGAACACTGAACGTACATTCGATAGAAACGTGCAAAGCTTTTTCTTCGACGAAGCCTTACACCACCTTGGTATCATTCAATTATTCATGCGAGATGAAAGGCATTTCTCCTTGGGACATTAACGAAAGAATAATGTTTTTTAAGGCGTAATTTTCCATTCGTTTTGCCCGTAGGAAAATTCAAGGACAGCATGAGCAGCTCGACAAGGAGTACAGAATCCACGCTGCCGGTGTTCTCTTATGCAACTCGAGGGCCTCCGGGAAGGTAAGCGTTTTGTCATTATTCTTTCCTTTCCTTCCGTGATTCACGGAAGATAAATGGTTCTCTCGATCATCGCAACGCTATCTATTATTTGTTAGACGAGAAACCCCCGAGCGTCCTTCGCTATTTTCTCCATGACTCGGCTGTTCGTTAAATAAATTCGATCGATCGGCTGTCTCTAGAGGCAACGAAGGCAAGAGACTCTTTCGTAACTTTTCCAGGAATTGGATATCTTTCCTTGGCAACCGTACGATAATTTAGTATTTCCGAACCGCGTATCGTCGAGCATTATATTTACACGGGTGCTCGTACGGTTATAAATTTCTATAAATTTGTAACACGTAAAGGTCCATGATTTCTTATGTAAGCATCTTTGTACCGATCTATACACCCAATAAACGATTTATCGAACGTACTCGACTATCTTCTTACGGTTTACTTTGGAACGATAACCGAAGTTTATGGTAGAATAAGCATCGTGCTAATAATACAAGAACATATCACATTTAAAATGCAAATATTATATGTCATCAGTTTGATCAATTTTTAACATTTAAATTAGTACTTCATTTTTATTAATATCTGTAAATTAACCTTGTGCATCTCTGACTAGAACTAGGCACCATATATCACTGTGGATATAAATTAAAATTGACTCCATTTGCAAAAATACCGTTTACATCGTATTGTGTACTTTCTCAAAGCCTAAACTTTCCCTAAATAACATTTTCTTGAATTCTTTGAAATAGTCAAGATATTTACATGGACAGAGTCCGACGAGACACACTGTGTACGCTTATAAGCATCGTGTTAATAATAAAAGAAAATATCACATTTTAAATGCAAATATTATATGTCATCTGTTTGATCAATTTTTAACATTTAAATTAGTACTTCATTTTTATTAATATGTGTAAATTGACCTTGTGCATCTCTGACTAGAATTAAGAACCATATATCTCTGTGGATATAAATTAAAAATTGACTCCACTTGCAAAAACACAGTTTAAATCGTATTGTGTACTTTCTCAAACCCTAAAATTTCCCTGAACAACATTTTCTTGAATTCTTTGAAATAGTCAAGATATTTACGTGGACAGAGTCCGACGAGACACACTGTGTACGCTTATAAGCATCGTGTTAATAATAAAAGAAAATATCACATTTTAAATGCAAATATTATATGTCATCTGTTTGATCAATTTTTAACATTTAAATTAGTACTTCATTTTTATTAATATGTGTAAATTGACCTTGTGCATCTCTGACTAGAATTAAGAACCATATATCTCTGTGGATATAAATTAAAAATTGACTCCACTTGCAAAAACACAGTTTAAATCGTATTGTGTACTTTCTCAAACCCTAAAATTTCCCTGAACAACATTTTCTTGAATTCTTTGAAATAGTCAAGATATTTACGTGGGCAGTGTGCGGCGAGACACACTGTGTACGGCTTCTTTCTCCGAGCGTAACTCGTCGAGAGACGTTATTTGCGCGGTCAGTTAATTTCATCGAACAATGTACACCGACGTTTGCGCTGCCTCATCAAACAATATACCGAGCACGAGCGCAAGCAACAAACCGGGAATATTCGCAGCGTTAATTCGCGGAAACGTACGATTTCCCGACATCCACGTAAGCCCATCGAACCGGTCGCCGGACAATGGGAAAACTCCATCTCAGTTCAGCGGGAAAATAATGTAACGATGCAATCTAAAAGAACGAGGCAAACTTTCGACGAGTACCAGGGAGCTACGCGATCTTTCCCTTCGGCGTTCCATCGTCGAGTCCTCGGAATAATAGATTCAATTCCTGCGTGCCCTCCCACCCCCCCTTCTCGTTCCGACCATTTTCCTCTTTCGTCCCCTCTCTTTCACACACACATACACACGTACACGTACACGTATACGTTCTCTAGCTGCGTCCTCGGTCGTTCCGAGCCCACCGTCTTCGGGCAAATGAAAGTTTGGCCGGATTATCGCGCTCCGCCAAAGACCAAGGAGGACCCAAAAGCTCGCGGAGGAGTGGTATTTCGAGAGCTCGAAGCAATCGAGAATTGGCGACTCTATCTCGAGCTTCACCGTCTTCGTCGCGGCGAGAGACTAAAGTTGTACGGGGGAGTTGACCCGAACTGTGACGAGCAACCGCGATTGGAACGAGGGAAGAACGGGCCAATTCGACGATAAGGCGAGATTCGAGGGCTCGAGACATCGAAGAAGGCTCCAGGCGGGGCCGCGTTTCCGGTTATATCGCGCAGAATCACGCATTACGAATTTCCCTACCTTTGATGACCCTTCTCTGCCACTTTTTTTTAGTTTTGCGAACGCTTGTTTTATCTACAATCCTAAAGATATACCGAGTTTTCAGTCAGCCCTGGGAAAAATTTTAATGGGAGATTCTGGAGGCCAAAATAAGATAAAAATCAAGGATAATAATTTGTTGATTAAGGCTTCGTTAAAAAGTTATAGAAACATTTCCGGCCATACAGTATATTTTCGGTAAAGAATTTTTTTCTCGAATGTATGTAGGATTTCGGAGGTATGTGTATTCACCAAAAATGATTGTCATTGACTCCAGCAAACGAAAATAATTTTTCCAGAACGATTTGAAATTTTTTTTTTCGCCGAGTAGCTACCCTGTCGATTTTTCTTAAAAATTCGTTTTTTATTTGTAATAAATTTGTTTGACGTCCCACGGGAATTATGTTTAGCACTTTTTTGTAGGTATCCATTAGCTCTACTTCCATACTAAATTTCATTGAGATCCATTGAGTATTGTAGGAGTTATGGACGTTTGAAAATTTGATCATTTTTATGGGGTTTTTCTCACTTTACGTGGTCAAGGAATAAGTTTTCGAATATTCTTGAAATTTCTGCATATTCTCCATTAAAATACGCATTGTTTGCTTCTTGAAACATTAAAATCCTCCAATCCGTTCAGGAGTTATGATGTCTTTAAGATACGCATGAAATTTCAGTGAAACATATCAATGTATGGGCAGACATTATATTTTCGGTAAGGAATTTTTTTCTCGAATGTGCGTAGGATTTCGGGGGTATGTCTACTGACCAAAAAGTATTGTAATTCACTCTTGCAAATAAAAATAATTTTTTCAGAATGATTTGAAATTTTTTTTTCGCCGAAAAATTTCAGCATACTCGAATTTTTTTCTCGAAAGTCCGTAGGATTTTGGGGGTATGTCTGTTCACCAAAAATGATTGCAATTGATCCCCGCGATCAAAGATAATTTTTCCGTGTCTGATTTGAAATTTTTTAATAACTTTTTAACGAAGCCTCTATCAAGAAATTGATATTCTAGATTTTCGTCTTATTTTGGCCTTTAGAATCTCCCATTAAAATTTTCCCAGGACCGTACACCCTGTATACAAATAGATGATCGGTCGAGCAGTTGCGGGAGAGTATAGCCCTCTGCAGACCTCCATTTTAATTTATAAACTTCCCTGATTAACAATTTCTATTCAGAAATGGGAATTACAATAGAAGTACACCGGGAAGAATACGAAGGTGAGTATGACCATAAGTGAAAACTGAACGAAACAACATTTCTAATAAAGTGGAAACCGGATAGATGTGCCGGAGGCATGCTTTCAATATTCATGCAGCGCATAAAATTAATACTTCATACCGTGCAGAAGCTGAATATGTATGAATTATTTGTATCTGTTAAACGTACCACTGCTTCAAAATTGTTGAATGCAAATCAGTGTGTAGAACAAAAAGCTCGAATTTAGAAAAACATTTAGATAGTCTAAGCTCAAACGCACTATTCCACTGTTATTTGTGTCCATTTTTATTATAATCATTCATTGTCTCTGGAGTTATTTATATTTGTTAAACATACTACTTTCAATACTATTGAATGCAAATTAATTGTAGGACGAAATGCTTGAATTTAGAACACACTGTAGGCTCCCACCATGTTCGTGGAGCCGTTTATTTAATAAATAGAAGTTCAATACTATTTACAAACACCTGAATTTATTTACAAATACGTACATATGTTACCAGTGTAATTTCAATGTTCTCAGTTCGATTCTTATGGAGTTCTTAAGATGTTCTAACTGTTCTTGAAGTGTTCTAATTTGGAAAGTCCTATGCCCCACGATTTTATACAGATTCCAAAATAGTCAATCGCTATTGAGGCAAGGAAGAGCTCCAAGGATTCCAAATCCTGTGTGGAGTTTGGAGGTTCCTTAACCCCTTCCCGTGCCATTTACCACGACGAAATCCAGGCCCAAACTATAGGCGTCAGCGCGCGGTAAACAGACCAGACTGACCGACTTTCTGAGTCTGATTCGTGATATTCATGTTTGAGCCAAAATCTTGACAAAAATCAGACTCGTTAAAGCACGGGAAGGGGTTAATCACAGTGACGTAATTTGTCAAGTAAAAATGTCTTGAAGGTTAAGGCTACTCCTCAAAAATAGCGGAGAAGTCACGTCCCCGCGATGTGAAGGTTCCATAAGAATCCTTACCATCAACAGTCCGCTTCATTCATTAATTGAAAAAGCAAAGTATCGTTGAAATCGAATAATATTCCGGGGTCTTCTGACGTTTCCCTTGGACGCTAAACGGGAATTCGATACGGAAGGAAGACGTTCGAACCGCGTCGGGACAACGCTACGAACGCATATTGAACCTAGAAGGAACGGTCGCGGGGGTGGCATAATAGGGCGCAGGGGACAAATAGGAGACGGAAACGCACTACGTAGGAAATAATATGAAATCCGAGGCTCGTTCGCGGGGTGGTTGGAAAGAAATGAGAAACGCCGAAGAGGCGGCGGAGTGTACGGGCTGGCCAGATGACGAAGCGCAAAAACGAAGGAGGGAATTGCAGGGCCGAAGAGCCCGGATCACCAGGCGGATAATAAAGCAACGCAAGAAGGAAGTCGACGTTCGCGATGAACGGGAATTTACGGGAACCGGAGGGAAAAGGGCGACAAAGTTGGGACCGACCCGTTGGGCGCCAGAAGGAATGAAATATGAAAGACGGAGGCGAGGTGTATCGAGTGACGCGAAACCGAAAAGCGCGGGCACGTTTGCTGGGAAAAGGCGGAAACGTAGTATAGTGGGAGGAATATGAAACGGCGGGCGACGACGACGTGATCAAAAACAAAACCGTCGAGCCTGGAAATTAAAAAAAAGGACAGAATTCCTGGTACGTGCTCGGGGTCGAGGACTCCTCGAAGAAAACGCTGCGATAGATCTG